TTTGTCATGGGGCTTGAAGTCTGGGCTTGGATGCTGTCCCTTAGCTCTTCAGCTCAAGGCTAGCACTCTACCACTTGAGCCACAGCACCACTTCCAATTTCCTGGTGGTTAATTGGAGATAATAGTCTCATGGGCTTTCCTGCCCAGTGTGGCTTTGAACTGTGATCCTTAGGTCTCAGCCTTACTTGCATGAGCCACCAGCTGGTGGCCCAGCTTCTTTTGGCTTCTTTTGCTTAAAATATTCATGAGACTCATTCTTTTTTTTGGTGCGGGGGCTTGAACTCTGGGCCTGGATGCTGTCCCTCAGCTCTTCAACTCAAGGCTGGTGTTCTACCACTTGAGCCACAGTGCCACTTCCTGTTTTATCTGCTTATGTGGTGCTGAAGAATTGAACCCAGGGCCTCAAGCATGCAAGGCAAGCGCTCTACCACTGAGCCACCTTCCCAACCCCGTATTCATTGTTTTATAGTGATGGATTGCTCCTTCTTAATCCAGCTACTGTTCCCTTGTACAGATAGACCAAAATCTTTCCCATGTTGATAGATATCAAGTTGATGTTCAGATTTTAAGTTTAGAGATAGAGCCACTGTATGCTTTCATTCTTACATGAATACCAAAGAGTTGAATTGGGTCACAGAGTAAGTGTATGTTTAATTTTTTAAGTAATTCCAAAATAGCTTTCAAAGTAGTTAAATAATTGTTTGGAAAGGAAATGTATGGGAGATTCAGTACTGTATTTTCACTTCTTTTGCTTATTTTTTTTCTTATCTCTTATATCATTAAATAAACCTTTCTTTAAAGGAAACACTTCAAGTTGAAGAAGATGATAGACCTGAATTACCATGGTGGAAATGTAAGAAGTGGGCCTTACATATTTTAGCAAGGCTTTTTGAAAGGTAAGTTCTCTATATTTGGTAATTTCAGGTCATCTTTTTAAGATTTTGATTTTGTAAGTATAGATATATAAAGGATTTTAAAGAAATAATGGTCATATATATGTATTTTTTTTTGTTTTTTTAGATATGGAAGTCCTGGGAATGTTTCCAAGGAGTATAATGAATTTGCTGAAGTATTTTTGAAGGCATTTGCTGTTGGTGTTCAGCAAGTACGTCTAACACAGATTTTCTAAGTAGAAAAATGGCTTTTAGGTTTGATTTTTTTTTTCTTATTTCTAGTTTCTTTTCTTCCTTTCTTTTTGTTCTTGTGTAAGTCATTGGGTTTTATCTATAGGCCTGGCTCTACTACTTTGAGCCATGGCTCCACTTCTGGTTTTTAGGTGGTTAATTGGACGTAAGAATCTAACAGTCTCTCCTGCTCAGGCTGGCTTTGAACCTGAATCCTCAGATCTCAGCCTGCTGAGTAGCTAGGATTACAGGCATGAAGCACCAGTGCCTGACTTACTTCTAGTTTCTTTTTTCAGCTATAAACAGTATATTTGACCTTTGTAGCAGTTCTGAAACATCTTAGGTGTTAACTTTTTTTTTTTCTTTTTTTCCAGTCCTGGAGCTTGAACTTAGGGCCTGGGTTCTATCCCTGAACTGCTCTGTGCTCAAGACTAGTGCTCTACCACTGAGCCATAGCACCACTTCTGGCTTTTTCTGAGTAGTTGTTTGGAGATTAGAGTCTTATGGACCTTCCTGCCAGGACTGGCCCTGAACCATGATACTCAGATCTCAGCCTCCTGGGTAGCTTATTATTAAAGGTGTGAGCTACCGGTATTCAGCTGGTATTCAGTTTTTTGTTTGTTCTGGGCCTTGAACTCAGGGTCCCACACTTTTGCACAAAGTATTGTATATTATTATATTTTGAATGAATTTGCTATATATACATGGTTTTGTAATTTTTGTCATTTGAACATGTTGATTCATATAGTTCATGTAGACTTTCTGAATATCAATACATTTTACTAAATAATTATTTTTTATTAGTTGTATAAGGGAGTTTTATTGTGACATTTTCACATATCTATACAAATGTATCCTAACCAACCTCATCTCTTCTGTTCTCCTCCTACCCTGCCTATCAACCTTTCCCCTTCTTAAACAGTGTTTCATTTACGCCTTTGTTAGCCTTCCTCACTCCCATTGGTATCCACTCCCTTACAGAATCAGATTTACTTGCCTGTCCTCCATTTCTTTGTTTTTCCCTCTCCACTCCTTATCTTCCTAAATAGTTAGAATCAAGAAAGAAACACTTGGACAGGCTGAGTGTGGCTCAGTTGAGAGACTTAAAATCTAATGATAATTTTGCAAAAAAAAAAAATAACCACCAGTCTTATTAGAAATTTTTAATATCTTTTAATATTGGAAAGCTATCAAGCTAATGGTAATGATTCCAAGATTTGTCAAATTCTGATCTTTCTTTGAAAACTTGAATTTAGCACAAGTAACATGATATGTCAGCTCTTTGGAATAACATTTTTGAGAAAATTAAAAATAATCTGCCACCTGTACAAGTCCAAATCATTATTTGTCTGTAAGTTCTTTCAAAGAAAATAGTATATCATGGAATAGCAACCTTTTCATTGCAATTCAATTTCCAAAAAATACATTTCTCTCAACTATTGTACTTTGGTATTTACTGGGTATACTCATTTTAAAATCATAGTATTTCTGTTTTTTTTAAGACATTCTTAAGGAAAACTGATTCTACAAGTATGTGATTGTTATTTTAACTTTAGTTGCAGTACCACTTCTTTGATGGATGTTAGTCATTGGGAGGTATTAATACGTTAATGTCAGTTTTTTTAAGCAATTAACCTTGATCCACTTTAACCTTCCAGGCTCACTGCAAGGGTCTTGGCAACCACCAAATGTCTATGACTTACACTTTGAAAATTGATAGTTTGAAACAGCCAATAGAATTAGAACTTTAAAGACACATAAGTAGGTGACTGACTGAGTTAGGATTTTCTTAGAAGATGGTCAGTAAAATAAGGCTATGTCAGTAGGGAGCATATGGTTTTTTCCTTAGCCAGAAAGTAGGCCTTTCATACATTCTTAGGTCAGCATGTTTGTTAGTTAAATCCCTTGGGACGAAGAAATACAGTTCTCTTAACTTTCAAGGTTTTATTTTTAAAAGAATAGTTGTTATTTTGTGATGATGACTTTAGCTTTAAAGATTAATGTGAGATGCTTTTAATGGCTTGTAAATGGTTAAAGTTTCTCTGAGCTTAGTTTTGATTAAACTTCTTTTCCCTCCAAAGGTTTTATTGAAGGTGTTATATCAATACAAAGAGAAGCAATATATGGCTCCTCGAGTTTTACAACAGACATTAAACTATATTAATCAAGGAGTATCCCATGCCCTTACCTGGAAGAATCTGAAGCCTCATATACAAGTAATAAATTTCTAACATTTTTTAAAGATTATCAAAGCTTTTTGAGATGGAGTAAGTGGATTAAGAGTATAAAAATCAAATATGGTATATATCTTTTAATCAGGATGGGTGGTGATAAATTTTAATGATGCAAAACAGGTTATATTACAGTAGTTGAGGTTGCTGTGTATACATCTTTTTTCAAGCACATCCAACAGAATTGCTAAAAAAGTTGAAAATCGGGCTGGGAAGGTGCTCAGTGGTAGAGTGCTTGCCTTGCATGCATGAGGCCCTGGGTTCGATTCCTCGGCACCACATAAGCAGAAAAAGCTGGAAATGGGGCTATGGCTCAAGTGGTAGGGAGCTAGCCTTGAGCTGAAGAGCTGAGGGACAGCACCCAGGCCCAGAGTTCAGGCCCCATGACCGAGCCCCTCCGACCCCCTACTCCCTCCCCCCCCCAAAAAAAAAGTTGAAAATCATGTTGAGTTTTGTTAGTCTAGTTCTGGTGATTATTTACATAGAATAGAGAAAAAGAAGATTTAGCATTTGATGTTAATTATAAGTATTTAACTTCTTTTTAGTCTACTGTTGCATTTAAGCTTGCATTGTTTTGTGTCTGTGTGTGTGTGTGTCCATCTGTTCATGTCTATATGTGTGTGTCTGTGTATATTGGGGCTTGACTCAAACCCTGGTCACTGTCCCTGAGCTTTTGTACTTAAGCTAATGTTTCATTGAGCCATATCCCCATTTCTGGCTTTTATTTATTTATTTATTTTTGGCTTGTCCTGAGGCTAGAATTCAAGCTCTGGGCATAGTCCCTGAGCTTCTTTTGTTCCAGGCTACCACTTGAGCAACAGTGCCACTTCTGGCTTTTTCTATTTATGAGGTACTGAGGAGCGGAACCCAGGGCTTCCTGCAAACTAGACAAACACCACTAAGCCACTTTCGCAGACCTTTTTTTTTTTTTGCCAGTTACGGGGCTTGAACTGAAGCCTGAGTTCTGTCCCTGAGCAAAAGCTCAAGGCTAGCACTCTACCTTTTTGAGCCATAGTGCTACTTCTGGTTTTCTAGTGGAAGATTGAAGAGTCTTGGGGATCTTTTTTCCCACCCCACCCTCCCTCCTCTCTTTCCTCCTCCCCCCTTCCTTTCCCCTCCTTTATACTCCTAGGGACTTTTCTGCCTAATCTGGCTTTGAACTGTGATCCTCAGATCTCAGCCTTCTGTGTAGCTAGTATTACAGGTGTGAGCCACCAGCACCACGCAGCTTTTTAAATTATTAATTCCTTAAAAACTTGTTACAGAGAAGTCAAGAACTTATAGTCAATTCAAGAAAAAGTGTATTGGTAAAGTTTGGCATTAAGCTTTAGAATACATTTTATAAAATTATTTCTTTTTGAGTACTTAAAGGAGATATGACAGTTATATTTGAAAGCTGAAGGCTGTTACTTTTTTAACTTTTAAATTGCAGGGCATTATCCAAGATGTTATTTTTCCATTGATGTGCTATACAGATGCTGATGAGGAACTTTGGCAAGAAGACCCTTATGAATATATTCGCATGAAGTTTGGTAAGAAATTTTTACTTTCCAAACAAAATGTCAGGTAGCGATGGTTATATGTAGCCAACGTAAGATGTATTATTTTGTCCTTCTTGATACTGAACATCTTTATTAATAATTTATTATTACTAAGGAATTGTACATAAATCAGACAATGAGTATAATTTTTCTTGGATATTGTCACCCCTTCCTTTGTTTTCCCCTACTTTTCCCTTCCTGTCCCTGTCCATAAGTTATATAGTTTTTTTTTTACATCTTATATATTGAATATTGTACATTTATTTACCCTCCATTTCTTTGTCTCCCATAAACAAAACATGTTTTCATTTCTTGGATTTTTTTTTTTTTTTTGCCAGTACTGTGGCTTCAACTTAGGGCTTGGGCACTGTCCCTGAACTTCCTTTGCTCTACCACTTGAGCCACAGCACCACTTCTGACTTTTTCTCTTTATGTGATACCGAGGAATCGAACCATGGTTTCATGCATGGTGGGGAAGCACTCTACCACTAAGCCACATTCCCAGCTCATGGAATTGTTTTGTTAAATAGTATTTGAGATATTCAGAGGTGTTGGACTTTTGGGCTCCTTCCCTAAGAGTTCCTTCCTTGTTTGTGTGTAAGTACATACAGCACTGTTTTAAGTTACCATATCCAGTTGTAAACTAGCTTCCATATATATGCCATTTGTCTCTTTGAGCTTGGCTTACTTCACTTAACATGATTTGTTTAGGTCCCTGTAGTGATATAATGTTATTCATTCTTAATGGAACTTGAACTCAGGGCTTCATTCTCTTAACTGGGCCTTTTCCACTAAAGGGTGGTGATCTATCTCTTGAGCCACAGCTTTACTTCTGGGTTTTTCCTTATTAATTGGAGATGAGTCTCATGGACTCTCTGTTTGGTCTGATTTTGAACCATGATTCTCAGATCTTACCTTTGTGAATAGCTAAGAATACCGTGTTGGCCCTTGAGAGAGAGAGAGAGAGAGAGAGAGAGAGAGTGTGTGTGTGTGTGTGTGTGTGTGTGTGTGTGTGTTGCTGGTCGTGGGGCTTGAAGTCTGGACCTGGGCACTCTCCCTCAGCTCTTCAGCTCAAAGCTGGTGCTTTCCCACTTGAGCCACAGCACCACTTCCAATTTTCTGGTGGTTTATTGGAGATAAGAGTCTCCTGGACTTTGCTGCCCAGGGTGGCTTTGAACCGAGATCCTCAGATCTCAACCTCTGATTAGCTAGGATTACAGGATGAGCCACCAGCGCTTTTCAAATACATAATGAGAATTGAAAAAAAATGCATGTATTCCCTGCATGGAAGCTAAGAATTATAATTTGGCAAATATTGAGTGTTGGTTTTTCCTGCCAGATGTTTTTGTAGATTATAATTTTGCAACACTATTGTAAAGAAATGTTATTTCAATCTTTTGTATGAAAGAATGTTAGTGTTAAAAGTCAGTGGAGGGCTGGGAGGTGGCTCAGTGGTAGATCGCTTGCCTTGCAATGCATGAGGCCCTGGGTTCGATTCCTCAGTACCACATAAGTAAAAGTCAGTGGATTGGGTGGGGGGTCAGGGGGAAAATGGGAAGGGATGGGAAGGGGAAACAAAGGAAGAGTCTACAATGCTTGGTAAGAGATGTACTCATTATCTTGCCCATGTAATTGTAACCCCTCTGTACAGTATTTTCACAAAAAAAAGTCAGTGGATTAACATTTAATTTGTATGAAAACACATAGAATTCATGTGTGGTAACACATTGCAAGAGACTGAAGTAGATGGATCACTTCATGTTGCTATTGTATTATAGTGAGGCAGCCGCAAACTGAGACCTCATGTCAAAAACAAAATTATGTGGTATTATCTGAGTGTATATGTCTGTGTGTATCTAGGTCTCTCTCTGTTGCTTCCTTCATCTTCCCACTTTTTCCTGTAGTTGAACTGGGGTGTTGGTACATGGCTCAAAGTAGCGTCAAATCTGAGATTTTGCCAGTGGCTCATGCCTGTACTCCTAGCTACTAGGAGGCTAAGATCTGAGGAAAATGATTCGACACAAACCCAGGCTTGAAAGTACTGTGGTTCAAGTGGTAGAACACTAGCTATGAGCAAAAAAGCTCACTTAGGGACTATGCCTGGCACGTTGAGTCTCAGCCTCCTTAGTATAACAATTTATAAGTATGTACTAGTATACCCATGTAAGTGCCTTGTTTTTTATAAAGCATAACTTATAAATTCAATAATATGAAAATATTTTGCAAAGGTGTTAAATTACTGTTTGCTATTCTATTTTTATATTTCTTTTCTAGATGTATTTGAAGATTTCATTTCTCCTACCACTGCTGCCCAGACACTTTTGTTTACAGCCTGTAGTAAGAGGAAAGAGGTAAGTTATTTGATGTGCAGAATAGTTTTACTACATCACCAAAAAGTTACTCAAATATACTCTCTGTTTTAAATGTTAGCTATGTGAGTTGTTTGGCTAGTTTATTATTTTTTTTTTTTGGCTAATTTATTTTTAAAGAGCTGTAGGTTTGGGCTGGAAAGGTGGCTCAGTGATAAGAGTACTTGCCTTGCATGCATGAGGCCATGGGTTCAATTCCTCAGCACCACATAAGCAAAAAGAAAAAAAAAGCTGGAAGTGGCGCTGTGGTTCAAGTGGTAGAGTGCTATCCTTGAGCTAAAGGGCTGAGGGATAGCACCCAGGCCCAGAGTTCAGGACCCCGCCCCCCCCTCAAAAAAAAAAAAAGCTGTTGGTTTATTCAATCAAACATTATCTCTTAATTTAGGTACTACAGAAGACTATGGGCTTTTGTTACCAGATTCTTACAGAACCAAATGCTGATCCTCGGAAAAAAGATGGAGCTTTACATATGATTGGCTCTTTAGCTGAAATACTTCTGAAGGTATTTCTTCTTTACATCTGTTTGTATAAGTATTTAAATTACCAGTTTTCCTGAGAAACAGTAGTTATAATTGTTACCACTTTCCCTATCTAATTCCTAGACATTTTCATTACCTTGAGTTGAAAATTGTATACATTAGCAGTTACTCTGTTTTATACCAAGTCTCTAAGCCCAACCTACTCCTATTCCAAATTTTGTCTCTAATCAGGTAGTAATATATATTTTATATATATATATATATATATATATTTTTTTTTTTTTTTTTTGGGGGGGGATGGGGCTTGAACTCTGGGCCTGGGCGCTGTCCCTCAGCTCTTCAGCTCAAGGCAAGCGCTCTACCACTTGAGCTACAGCGCCACTTCCGGTTTTCTGGTGGTTTATTGGAGATCTCAGCCTCCTGAGTAGCTAGGATTACAGGCGTGAGCCACCAGCGCCCGGCTTTATATATATTATGTAATATACTGTTAACATGCTTCACAACAAATCTTAAGAACATTACACTAAATCAAAATGTTACTGAAAACGAACATATTATATATAATATATATAATATATATGTGTTCTATGTATGTGTGTGTGTTAAGACCTAGCTACACACACACACCTCAGATACCCACATAATTTTGTTTTTGAGATGTAGTCTTACTTTGCTGCTGCCTGAGTATATATTTTTTATATATTATATAACTATATATTTTGTTTATTTTTTTTGGGTCTGTGATCCCTCCAGGATCCTACATGGCATTTAATTTTCATGTCTTAGGTTAGGTCTTCTCCAATTTTGCAAGTGCTAGTCAGTTTTTAATGTTTATTAATGTGCAGTTCAAATATTGTCCGTATTTTTGTTTGTTTTGCTATAATAGAGATTAAACCTAAGTCTTGTGTATGTTAAGTGAGTACTGTACTGATCTATAATTCTAGTCCTTAGTGTTTTTTTGTTTTGTTGGTTGAAGGGCTTGAACTTGGGGCCTGGGTGCTGCTCCTGAGCTCTTCAGCCCAAGGCAAGAGCCCCTCCCACTTGAACCATAGTGCCACATCCAGTTTTCTGGTGGTTAATTGGATATTAGAGTCTCCTGGACTTTCCTTGCCTGGGCTGGGTTTGAAATGGGATCCTCAGAACTCAGCCTCCTGAGTAGCTAGGCATTAACTAGGTGCCCAGCTATCTTTTAGAATGTATCTCATTGCATAGCTCCAAGCAGACCTGAACTTGTTGTACGGCCCTGGCTGTTCTCAGACTTTAAAGCCACTTTTTGAGTGTTGGGATTACATATGTTTTATTAACACTAGATTTTGTAATTGCTTTCTAATTCAAACATTCAAACAAAAATTTTAATTGAGGGGCTGGGAAGGTAGCTCAGCGGTACAGTGCATGTCTTGCAAGCATGAGGCCCTGGGTTCGATTCCTCAGCACCACATAAACAGAAAAAGCCGGAAGTGGCGCTGTGGCTCCAGTGGTAGAGCACTAGCCTTGAGCTGAAGAGCTGAGGGACAGCGCCTAGGCCCGGAGTTCAGGCCCCATGACCGGCAAAAAAAAAAAAAAAAAAATTTTTTTTTTAGTTGAAAAACATAAAAATGTGCTTAGTGTACCTGAGGCCAGAGCATTTTGACATCAAAGCCATCCTCTACTATTTAGTGATACTCTGTCTTCATCCCCTCCGTAATATAATAATACTCTGGGCACTGGTGTCTCACACCTGTAATCCTAGCTATTCAACGAAGCTGAGACCTGAGGATCACCGTTTGAAGCCTGCCCTGGCAGAAAAGTCCCCATGAGACTCTTCTTGCCTCCCAATTAACTACTCAAAAACTGGAAGTGGCACTGTGGCTCAAGTGGTAGGCCTCTAACCTTGAGCACAGAAAGGTTTAGGGACAGTGCCCAAGCCCTGAGTTCAAGAACCACAACTGTAAAAACAAATAGATTTTTTTGGTTATAGGTCCTAAAAAGGTATCAATATAAGTGTGTATTTGACATCAATAGTCACTTTTTGCTTGAGCCATGCCTTCAACCATTTTTGTTGTTGTTTGGTGCTGAATTTAGGGCTTGAACTCAGGGCTTGAGCACTGCCCCTAGCTTTATCTTCTAAAGGCTAATGCTTGCTCTACCTCTTGATCTATACCTCCACTTCCACCTTTTTGATGCTTAAATGGATATAATAGTCTTATCAACTTCCCTTCTCAGGCTGGCCTTGAAACAGTTTCAAATATCAGCCTACCTTTGTAGCTAGGATTATAGGCACTAGCCACCAGTAAGTGTCCCAGAACCTGGTTAGTATTTGGGGGAGAGAGGTGCTTGGGCTTGAACTCAGGGCCTAGGTGCTGTCCCCAAGCTTCTTTTGCTCAAAGCTAACATTCTGCCCCTTGAGCCATAGCTCTACTTCAGCTTTCTGGTAGTTAATTGGAGATAAGAGTCTCATAGACTTTTCCTTCCTGGACTTGCTTCAAATCATGATTCTCAGATCTCAATCTCCTGAGCGGCTAAGATTATAGGCATGAGCCACTGATGCTGGGCTCTAATACTCTTGTTGTTGGCTGTAGGCCTGAACTCAGGGCCTGGGCACTGTCCCTGGGCTCTCTTTTGCTCAAGGCTAGTGTTCTACCACTTGAAGCCTCAGAGCCACTTCAGTTTTCTGGAAGTTAATTGGCAATAGTCTCCCAGATTTTCTTGCCTGGGCTGGCTTTCAACAATGATTCTCAGATTTCAGCCTCCAGAGTAGCTAAGATTTCAGGTGCTCAGCTTTCTAGATGTTGTTTTTAACCCTTGTATATCAGCTTGAAAATTGAGATAATGATAGTTGAACTATAATAAAATAAGTGTTTGTACTTACAGAAAAAGATCTACAAAGATCAAATGGAATATATGTTGCAAAATCATGTGTTCCCTCTATTCAGCAGTGAACTAGGCTACATGAGAGCAAGGGTAAGTTTTGAAGCTACATTTTTAATATATTTGTATCTCAAAATGTTTTTGTATTGAAACTTGTTATATATTCACTTTAAAAGTTATTTCACTTACAACTTAAGTTTAAAATAAATCTTTAAATGGCTACTACAGTGTGTGCATAGTTTCCATCTGTGTCTGGTAGCACAGTCTGTCTGTGTTTTGCATTCAGACCTTGCTATTCACACAAAATCGTGTAGCCAAAAAGCAACTTGGGATCATAGTACTGGTCTAGTGTTGTCTGTTTGGACACACCTACCACTGGCCAGCCTCCAAATTCCCGCACACAGAATTCTGGAAAGAGCTTGGGTTGGGACGTAATTAATGAAGATAATTATAGCCTATCAGTGTTTTTTTTTTTAAAGGCTTGCTGGGTTCTTCACTATTTTTGTGAAGTGAAGTTTAAAAGTGATCAGAACCTCCAAACGGCCTTAGAGCTGACACGAAGATGTCTGATTGATGATAGAGAAATGCCTGTAAAAGTAGAAGCTGCGATTGCACTTCAAGTATTGATTAGCAATCAAGAAAAAGGTAAAGATTTGTGTATCAAAAACAATGAATGTCTTTACATATGATTTTTACCAGTAGAGTTAGCATATTTATTATGTAAAATACTTATGAGTTTTGTTTTGTTTTTGGTCGGTTGTGCGGCTTCAACTCTGGGCTTGGGCACTGTCCCTACTCTCTTCAGCTCAAGGCAAGCACTCTACCGCTTGAGCCACAGCACCACTTCCATACTTGTGAGTTTAATAGTTATGAGCTGGGAAGGTGGCTCATTGGTAGAGTGCTTGCCTAGCATGCATGAGAAACCCTGGGTTCCATTCCTCAGTACTACCTAGTGGTGCTGTGGCTCAAGTAGTAGAACACTAGCCTTAAACAAAAGAAGCTCAGGGACAGTGCCCAGGCACTGAGTTCAAGCTCCAGGACCGGCACACAAAAAATATTTTTTTTTTCTCTTACAGCTAAGGAATATATCACACCATTTATCAGACCTGTAATGCAGGCTCTTCTTCATATTATAAGAGAAACAGAAAATGATGATCTTACCAATGTCATTCAGAAGATGATTTGTGAATATAGTGAAGAAGTTACTCCTATTGCAGTAGAAATGACACAACATTTGGTATGTAATCCTCTTGACAGATTCTTTGTTTTGTGGCAGTACTGGGGCCTCACACTTTTACTTAATACCATTGTTTAACCATTTGAACCACACCTCCACTTCCAGCTTTTTGCTGGTTAATTTGAGGTAAGTATCTGATTTGACTGGCAGGTATGATTTCAAAGCTCAGTCCTCAAATCTCAGCCTCCTGTGTAGCTAGTCTTACACGCATGAGCCAACAGTACTCAATTTGGTATATTCTTTTTTTTTTTTTTTTTGATCTGTCTTTGGGCCTGAACTCTGGGCCTGGGCACTGTCCCTCAGCTCTTCAGTTCAAGGCTGCACTCTACCACTTGAGCCACAGCACCACTTCCAGCTTTTCTGCTTATGTGGTGCTGAGGAATCGAACCCAGGGCCTCATGCATGCGAGGCAAGCACTCTACCACTTAGCTACCTTCCCAGCCCCATTGGTTTGGTAGATTCTTTTTTTATTTTAATTTATTTTTTACTTTTATCTATCTATCTATCTTGAACTCTGGGCTTGGGGGCTGTCCCTGTGCTCGTCAGTTCAAGGCGAGTGCTCTACTGCTTGAGCCACAGTGCCACTTAACAGTTTTCTAGTGGTTTATTGGAAATAAGAGTCTCACAGTCTGGTCTTTCCTTGCCCGGGCTGGCTTTGAACCGTGATCCTCAGATCTCAGCCTCCTCAGTGGCTAGGATTACAGGCATGAGCCACCGGCGCCCAGCTGGTAGATTTTTTTTTTTTTTTTTTGGGTCCGGTGGTGGGGCCTGAAATCTGGGCCTGGGCGCTGTCCCTCAGCTCTTCAGCTCAAGGCTAGCGCTCTACCACTTGAGCCACAGCACGACTTCTGGCTTTTTTCTTTTTTATGTGGTGCTGAGGAATCGAACCCAGGGCCTCAGGCATGCAAGGCAAGCGCTCTACCACTGAGCCACCTTCCCAGCCCCCCGGCTGGTAGATTCTTAAGTAATTTATTTCTCACTTTGTTCTTTTGGAGAATTGTCTTGAGCTAGTATGCCTTGAGCATACTAGCCAAACACTTTTATCACTTAGACCATTCTGCCAGCCCTGTTCTTACTTTACAGATAGAAAATGTGAGTATGCCAGGCCCAGTAGCTCTCACACCTGCAATCTTAGCTACTTAGGAGGCTGAGATCTGAGGATCATGGTTCAAAGTTAGCCCCGTCAGGAAAGCTCATCAGACTCTTATCTCCAATAAACCACCAGAAAACTGGAAGTGGAACTGTCATCCTAGTGGTTGAGTTCTTGCCTTAAGCTGAAGAGCTGAGGGGCAGTGCCCAGGTCCAAAGATCAAACCCCACAACTGACAAAAAAAAGAAAGAAAGAAAGAAAATGTGAAGTATTTAAAGGTTAAATAACTTGTGTATGGTAGAAACTAGAGTTTATAGTCTTAATTACTTAGGCTGTATATAGCATCTCTGTTGTTTTGGAGTACTCAAAACAATGAGTTTGGTTTTAAACAGAAAAAATAAACAAATGTGATTGGAAGGCTTATATTAGAATACTGTATGTAATATGTTACCAGTCTTTTTTATTTTTCATTACTGGCGGTTGTTGTTTGTTTTTTTTGTTTTGTTTTTTTGTCAGTCGTGGGACTTGAACTCTAGGCCTGGGTGCTGTCCCTGAGCTCTTTGGCTCAAAGCTAGCACTCTACCACTTTGATTCACAGCGCCACTTTCTGTTTTCTGGTGGTTTATTGGAGGTAAGAGTCTCAAGGTCTTTCCTGCCTGGGCAATCCTCAGATCTCAACCTTCTGAGTAGCTAGGATTACAGGCTTAAGCCACTGGTGGCTGGACATTACTGGAGTTTTGGACTCAGCTTCTTGCTTGCTAGGCTAGTGTTCTACTTCCTGCCAAAATTTTTTTCTATTATTTGAGCTCCCTGAACTTTTAGGCTATCATCTTGTCTCAGCACCATGACTATCTAGGATTACAGGCACTTTGCTGTGCTCATCTTTAGCCTGTACTATTAATAAAAATATTTATATATTACGGTCATTACTTATTTGCTTTATTTAACTCAACATTATCTCTGAAAACCCCTAAATGATATGTCAAGAAAGGCCAAGAGTTTATTTTCTTATCTAGTGGCAGAATAGGATCCTTTGATTATAGAGCCTAAGCTTATAAATTCATTAATCACCTGGGAGCCATTCATTTGTTGTGCTGTCCCAGGAAAAACATTGACTCTTGCCTATAATATTTATTATTCAGGATGCTGAGATCTGAAGGATCATGGTTTAAAGCCAGCCCAGGCAGAAAAGTATAAGAAGCTCAATTCTCCAGAATAACCACCAAAAAGCCAGGCTGTGAAGGTATTATACAAGTGGTAGCAAAGTCCAAGCCAGCCTGTAGCATGTATGTCTGAATTCTGAGTACACAGAAGGTTGAATTAGGAGGATTATGCATTTTGAGGCCAGCCAGGGCTACATAGTGAGACTCTATCTCAGACAAAATAAATCTTTGGCGAAACTGTTAATATTGCTTCAGTGGTGGATTTGAGTTGCATTTTCTCTCTCCACTCTAGGCAATGACATTTAACCAGGTAATCCAGACTGGGCCAGATGAAGAAGGAAGTGATGACAAAGCAGTTACTGCTATGGGAATTCTGAATACAATTGACACACTTCTTAGTGTGGTTGAGGATCATAAAGAGGTAAGATAATGGTTCAGTGTTGCACAAGTTTTAGGGAAGGGCATTTTATAGTGAGTATTCAGTGGTTTTGGGAAGGCTTTGACTTAGGTAATTAAGACCATCTCAACCATTTTGATGTGGGCATTTTTAATTAGTTTTTCAAAAGATACAATTGATAGCTTAAATATTTAAGTTCCAAAAAGCTAGGTAGGTTTAGGAAGCAGGTATTTGTTTGTTTGTTTGGGGGTTTTTTTGTTTGTTTTTTTTTTTGTTTGGTAGGTCTGGGGCTTGAACTCTGGGCTTGGGTGCTGTCCTGCGCTCTTCAGCTCAAGGCGAGCACTGTACCACTTGAGCCACAGCGCCACTTCCAGTTTTCTAGTGGTTTATTGGAGATAAGAGTCTCATGGGGGGGCTGGGAAGGTGGCTCAGTGGTAGAGCGCTTGCCTTGCATCCATGAGGCCCTGGGTTCAATTCCTAACACCACATAAGCAGAAAAAGGCTGGAAGTGGCACTGTGGCTTAAGTGGTAGAGTGCTAGCCTTGAGCTGAAGAGCTAAGGGACAGCGCCCAGGCTCAGAGTTCAGGCCCATGACTGACCCAAAAAAAAAAAATGTCTCATGGGCTTTCCTGCCTGGGCTTTGAACCTTGATCCTCAGATATCAGCCTCCTGAGTAGCTAGGATTACAGGTGTGAGCCACCGGCGCCCAGCTAAAATTTCATCTTTGTGTTGTTGTTTTTTTTTGGGGGGTGGGGGGGTCCAGTCGTGGGGCCTGAACTCTGGGCCTGGGCACTGTCCCTCAGCTCTTCAGCTCAAGGCTAGTGCTCTACCACTTGAGCCACAGTTCCACTTCCGGCTTTTTTCTTTTTGCTTATGTGGTGCTGAGGAATCAAACCCAGGGCCTCATGCATGCAAGGCAAGCGCTCTACCACTGAGACACCTTCCCAGCCCCGATTTCATCTTTTTGTGTCTCAGGACTTTTGGTTCCCTGTTAGGTTGTGTTTCTAGGTTCCATAAGTATGGTGATACATTGTTAAGTGTACTATCACCAATTTTCATTTAAATATTACTTTGGGACAACTGGTTTCCAGGTCCTGCTGCTCACTCTTCCTGTGTGATCTTTATCTTTACTAAACTAACTATTTAAAAAAATTGGTTTGGCTCAGTGCCAGTGACTATTAGGTTATGTTTCTCTGATCCAGAACTGTGATGATAACTTGTAAATACTCTACCACCAATTTGCATTTGAAGTTTACTTTGGTTTGGCCCAGCATCAGTGCCTCATATCTGTAATCCTAATTACTCAGCAGGCTACGATCTGAGAATTGTCATTCAAAGCCAACCTGGGCAGGAAGTCAGCCTTCAATTAATCACCAAAAATCCAGAAGTAGAGCTGTGGTTTAAGTGGTAGAGTACTAGCCTTGAATAGAAAACTAAGGAACAGTACACAGTTCCTGAGTTGGAGCCCCACTACCAACATACAGAAAAAAGTAATTTTGCTTTGAGAAATTCTGTATAATATATAATAAAATTTACCAATAACCATTTAAGCAATTAACTAGTGTTAATATACATTCAAATTGTTCTGCAATCATTATCATTCTCTTTGCCTCTCCCCCTCCCCCACTCGGTCATGAGGCTTGAAATCAGGGCCTGAGTGTACTTTGAGCCAAAGCAACAGTTCTGCTTTTCTCTTGGTTAATTGGAGATGAGTCTCATGGATTTTCCTTCCTGATCTGGCTTCGAACCATGATGCTCAAATCTCAGCCACCTGAGTAGCTAGGATTACAGGTCTGAGCCACCAGTTGTCATTTGGAAAAATAAGGGAATAATTTGGAATTTTAGATGTTGAATTGGCTAAAGCATACAAAAAAATAAAGGAGGGCTGGGAAGGTGGCTCAGTGGTAGAGCATTTGCCTTGCATGCTCGAGGCCCTGGGTTCGATTCCTCAGCACCACATAAGCAAAAAGAAAAAAGCCGGAGGTGGAACTGTGGCTCAAGTGGTAGAGCGCTAGCCTTGAGCTGAAGAGCTGAGGGACAGCGCCCAGGCCCAGAGTTCAGGCTCCACGACCGGACCCAAAAATAAATAAATAAATAAATAAATAAAAATAAAGGACAGAAAACAAACTGATTCTACTTACCCATTACCTAATTTATTGCATTTTAGCATTTTTACATTGTTTTCTTAAGATTTTATTTCCCAACAAAAATTAATTCAGCCTCTTTCCTTTTTTCTTCCTCTCCTTCCTTTTTCCATTGATGTAGTATATTGAATATGGGGCCTCATGTACACTACACTGAGCTACACACCAGATCCAGCAGTTTAAGATACAGTTGAATCTTGTCCCTACTTCCTTCCATTCCCTAGGAGTAACTACAGTGTGAATTTTGTGTTGATAGTTTCAGTGCAGATACATCTGTTATAAAGCTTTATATTCTGTCCCTGTCTCTCTCCCTCTCACCCTTTCCCTTTCCCTGTCTTCCCTTTCCCCTCCTTCTCCCCCTCTCTGTTTGTCTGTCTCTTTTTGTGTGCCAGTCTTGGGACTTGAACTCAAGGTCTAGACATGAGCTAGCATTCTGCCATTAAAGCAACAACTCTACTTTGGGCCTCTTCTCCCCCCCCCTCCCCCCTTAATTAATTGGATATAAAGAGTCTCTTGGACTTTGCTTCCTATGTTAGCTTTGAGCTTTGGATCTCAACTTCCTAAGTAGCTAGGATTACAGGCTGGAGCCACTGGTACCTGGCTAAAATTTTGTATTATAATTGAAGAAGCCATAAAAACCCTTGCAAATTTTCTTTAAAAGTTGGGAATACATTATGTACTATTTAAAATGGATGTTATGTTTTTATATTTGATTGGTATATACATTTATTAATTCTCATTCATCTCTTAATATTCTGATGTCCAGGCTGGGATGTAGCTCAATGGCAAAGTGGTTGTCTTATAAGTATCATGTCCTGGATTCAGTCCCCAGTACCAAAAAATATTCTGATAGCTTTCATAGATTTGGAGTCCAATTGAGGAGCTCATTAATAAGTAAAGAAGAATTTGTATTTTCTTTTCATCTTGATTGGGTGGGCCCTGGGTTCACATTTTCATAGATCAGTATGTAATATAACTTGAAAAATGAAAACGACTGTTGGCATTGGAAATGACTATTGACATTAACTTCTTCAAATCATTACTCTTTTATTTATTTTATTTATTTATTTATTTATTTTTTGGTCCAGTCATGGGGCCTGAACTCTGGGCCTGGGCGCTGTCCCTCAGCTCTTCAGTTCAAGGCTAGTGTTCTACCACTTGAGCCACAGCGCCACTTCCGGCTTTTTTTCTCTTTGCTTATGTGGTGCTGAGGAATCGAACCCAGGGCCTCAGGTATGCAAGGCAAGCACTCTACCACTGAGCTACCTTCCCAGTCCCTCATTACTCTTTTAAATCACTGTGACTTGATTTTTATTTGGTCCTAATTGGTCTATACTTACATACTTTGAAATTACATGTCCTGTTTTCTCCAGAATGTTATTTTTTATAAATAAGGTAGGTAATTTCTTGTGGTTTTCTTACAGTAATGATATTACATGAAATTTCCATTTTGAATTGGTTCATAATTTCATAATACATGTCAGTTCCAAATAGACAAATAATAATGTCTTAATATTATATTTATCTGTAGTAAAATATTTTACTATTTTAATAATTCCTTCCTTATTGTTCCCCTTCCCCCCCTTTTTTTAGATAACCCAGCAGCTTGAAGGAATCTGCCTACAGGTCATTGGTACTGTTTTACAACAGCATGTCTTAGGTATAATAACTCTAATTGTGTTAAGCATTTAGTGCTAGTTTATATGATTAAGATTTTTATTGATGACTTGGTATTTTCTTTTAGAATTCTATGAGGAGATCTTCTCCTTAGCACATAGCTTGACATGTCAACAAGTGTCACCACAGATGTGGCAGCTGCTACCCCTTGTATTTGAGGTCTTTCAACAGGATGGCTTTGATTACTTCACAGGTAAAGTCAAGTTACTGGGGAAATACTAAGTAATTTTGTGCTCCCACTCTCACTTTTTAATTTTAATTTATTATTTGAACACATACTCTTGAGTACTTAACTTTTTAAAATATTTTTATGATTTTTATAAATTTTTATGCTGGTCCTTGGGCATGAACTCAGGATCTGGGTGCTGTTCCTGAGCTTCCTTTCCTAAAAGCTAGCACTCTACCTCTCAAGCCACAGCTCCAGTTCTGGCTTTTTTGATAGTGTTGGTGGGGTTTTTTTTGTTTTTGATTTTGGTCAGTTGTGGGGCTTGAACTCTGGGCCAGAGCGCTGTCCCTCAGCTCTTCAGCTCAAGGCAAGTGCTCTACCACTTGAGCCACAGTGCCACTTCCGGTTTCTGGTGGTTTATTGGAGATAAGAGTCTCCTGGTCTTTCTTGTCTGGGCTGGCTTGGACTGCAAGTCCTCAGATCTCAGCCTACTAAGTAGCTAGAATTACAGGTGTGAGCCACTGGTGCTGAGCTGTTATTAATGTACTGTAGCACCTAGCTATAGTGTAGGTGTTTTTTGTTTGTTTGTTTGTTTTTTGGATCCGGTCGTGGGGCCTGAACTGTGGGCCTGGGGGCTGTCCCTCAGCTCTTCAGCTCAAGGTTAGCACTCTACTACTTGAGCCACAGCGCCACTTCTGGCTTTTTTCTTTTTGTTTATGTTGTGCTGAGTTATTGAACCCAGGGCCTCAAGCCTGCAAGGCAAGTGCTCTACCACTGAGCCACCTTCCCAGCCCCTATAGTGTAGGTTTTTGATAAGAGTCTTAGATTTTCCTGCCTGGCTTGGCTTTGAACTGTGATCCTCACATCTTAGCTTCCTTCATAGCTAGGATTATACATATAAACCACCAGTGCCTGGGTAACATTTTATTAGCAAATAACAGGTCAACAAGGACCTAAAAGCATTCTGTTAATATTATAGTTAGTGTTCTTTAAAAAAATACACTCCAGCCGGGCGCTGGAGTAATCCTAGCTACTCAGGAGGCTGAGATCTGAGGATCGCGATTCAAAGCCAGCCCGGGCAGGAAAGACCATGAGACTCCTATCTCCAATAAACCACCAGAAAACCGGAAGTGGCACTGTAGCTCAAGTGGTAGAGCACAAGCACTAAGCAAATAGAGCTCAGGGACAGTGCCCAACTTTCAGATTCAAGCCCTGAGTGACACAAACGGAAAAAAAAAATCTATGTCTCTTAAAACTCCAGTAAAAACAGGAGTTTTATAAATGTTTTGAGCTGGGTGTCAGTGGCTCACACCTGTAATCCTAGCTACTCCCGAGGCTGAGATCTGAGGATTAGTTCAAAGCCAGCCTGGGCAGGAAAGTCTGTGAGACTCCTCTCCAATTAACTACCTGAAAACCAGAAGTGGTGCTGTGGCTCAAGTGGTAGAGGGCTTGCCTTGAGCTGTAGAGCTAGGTACAGTGCTCAGGCCCACAGAGTTCAAGCCCCACAATCTACCCCCTGCACCCTTACCCCCCCCTAAAAATTAATAATGTTTTGAGTTTGAGAGTGCTTGGAGCTTACTTTGGGCTGGTTTTCTGATATCAGAAGAAGCGCCTTTTCTGTCCCAGTTGTCTTTGGAAACTCCCTCTCCCCTCCTTAGCTTTCTGTCTTGTGAACAGCTAGGATTTCAGGTGTAATCAGTGCTTGGCTGACATCTGAATATTTGTGTATACTGGTTCGAGGGCTTGAACTCTACTCCTCTGTGCTATCCCTAAGCTGCTTTGCTCAAGGCTAGCCCTCTATCACTTGAGCCATATCTCTTCTTTGGCTTTTTGCTGGTTAATTAGAGGTAATAGTCTCCGGCTGGCTTTAAATTGTGATCCTCAGATCTCAGCCTCTTGATTAGTTAGGATTACAGGCTTGAGTCACTGTTGCCCTTTATAATTCTGGATTGAGTTTTTTTTTAGGTGGTGATTGACCTTGAATTCAGGGCCTGGCCATACTGTCCCTGAACAGTTGCTGAAGACTGGTGCTATGTCACTTTGAGCCATGGTGCCACATCTGGTTTTCTGGTGGGGCTTACTGGAGGGGCTGGGAAGGTGGCTCAGTGGTAGAGCGCTTGCCTTGCATGCCTGAGGCCCTGGGTTCGATTCCTCAGCACCACATAAGCAAAAAGAAAAAGCCG